GGGGAGAGGGCCGCGGGAGGAGGTGGTGATGGGGAGGAGGGGGTCAGGCCGGGGCGCTTATGAACTAGTGGCCGCTTTTGCCTTCTATTAGCAAGCAAAGTGACACCGTTATTTATTGCGGCGTAATATTTTATTGCTGCTGGTACTTGAGGTTGGAATCGACCAGTTGTACAAGTCGGGTTCTATCAATTATTGCAGCAATTAGTCAAGTCGTCAAAGCCATTAACAGGGGGATTAGGCCAATATTGGATAGCCATTATTGATAGATCCAGGGGAAGGAAAAAGCCAAACAAACCCTCAGCCTGCGTTTGAAATGAAAGCAGGCCTAGCCTCAAGGATGTCATCATTCGGAGAACCCAGAAAACTTCCCCCCCTCCCTGCAGCCCAAAGGAGCACAAACCCGCCGCCGTGGTTTTTGGAAGCGTCGGGGCTGGGGGAGGGGATCCTGGGCGCACTGTCTCTTTAAAAGATATTGAGTGGCCAGCCTCGGCAGTATATAATCTCACCTGTCTCGATCATATTCTTTATTTGCAACGACAAGGCTTGCAATAGAAATTACTCTGTGTCGAATGTTTATGGAGCACATTTTTCATTCTGTAAGCAAATATAGATCCCTGATGCCAATGCTTAGAAATGGCTAATCTCCCTGTCTCGCTGGTTCATGATAGCAAAGAGTCCTCTCCGTTCCCCCATATATTATGATTGCCGCTTGCTTTTCTTGAGCACTCGTGGTGCTCTGGGCTTTTCCTACATTTTAGAAGCAGACCTGCAGCCTGATTTGTGTATGCCAAGGCAGCCAGTTTGTTCCTGAGTTTTCCAGCTAGCCCAGTGGAGTGGAGGATGTTTCTAAAACCCCTGCGTGGAGCCGAGCTGCAGTGTGATAGCGCTGGGCTGGCTCCTCTTCTGCTCAGTAGTGCACAGCCGCCGGCACCTACCCTTCCCAGTAGCCCCGTCGCTGCTGTCACGTCCCTTTTACAGATGAAAGGGCAGGCTCTGAGTCAGACTCACCTCCCAGAATAATGGGCTCTTTTGTTTTCAGGCTTCTTCTCAAGGGTTTGATAGCTTCCATGGCTTTGAAAGCGACAGGACAGCCAGTTCGCTCAAGCGCCAGCCTGTTGGGTTTCAGGCCCGTTTGCTCGTTCTGGTAAGCCTTGCCGTCTGGTTGGCGACAGGAGGCCGTTGTGGAGTCGCAGCGCGCGTGCAACGTGTGTATTGAGTCTCGCTCTGCCTTAGAGATATCTCTGGAGGGGCCGAGGCCCAGAGGTTGATTCTGTGAGACCTTGCTTGCAGCTTTGACTGTGTCGCAGTGTCAGTGACTCCCGATCTTGGACTGCCCTGTCCAAGATTACCTCTCCATATCCTTCCCGCTGCTTCCCAGCACAGCAACTGGGACCGGTTTGACTATGACCCAATGTGCTTGGAAGATGACAGAGGACAGGGAGCTGTGTCCCTGTGAGTTTGTTTCTGTGAGGTACCCATCTGACTCCCTCCAATGGTTCAGTCTTTGGGTTTTGTTGCCTTTTTTTTTTAAATTAAATTCTAAAGGAGATGGTGGTTTTTCCCCAGGAGAGAAATGCAGCCACTCCTGTGGCATGAGGTAGCAGCTGTTTAGCAGACTACAACCATCTCCAACTACAGCTTAGAGTGAAAGAGAGGAAGGGCACTGTGTCCAATTGAAGCTGCGGGGTCCCATTTGACTCCCATAGGGTCAGTGGCTGGTGCTTTTGTGAAGCTCTGTTTTCTTTTGGTGACTCCATGTGCTTTCATCCCCCACAGCAGCTCTTCCCTGCCAAGCCAATTGTTAGGAGTGACAATTCCCTTTTCTTGTTCCCTGGACAGCCGAGCATGTAACTGCTGGTTATACATTGTCCCTTTCTGATCCAAATACGCTCTGGAGCAAAGGTTAGAAGAGGACACCAACTAGCGCAGGAGACACAAGATGTGCTTCGTGCTCATTCTGTCCCAAGACTGAACTCTGATCCCTTGATTTTTTTAATTTTTCCCTGCCATCAGGTGCCAACCCCCTGCAGAAGAATGAAATGGGACACACACCCCTGGATTATGCTCGTGAAGGGGAGGTCATGAAACTTTTGAAAGCATCGGAGACAAAGGTGAGCCTGAGATTCGGGTGACTTCGTATTTCCTTTTCTGCTACAAGGACAGTTTTAAGGAGGACCTGGTGCGCTTCCTTCCATGCAATGGAGGAGTGCTTTACTGCACTTCCAAGATGTCATGCTTTTTGAAGGAGGTTTTTATAAATGAATGGCACAATGCGTAATGAAAAAAACCCTAAACTTTTGAAGTCTCTTTAGCTCTGTTCATGGCTATGTGCCCTCCTCTGCCATGTTAACACTTGTTCCTTGGCAGTGAGATGTATAGGGCCAGTAATTCCGTTCTGTAACCTTTAGGCAAAAATACAGTAAAATCAGGATGCCATTTCTGCTTTATTTTCTGAAATTGCTGGAAATAGAACCAGATCCTAGGATTAAGAGTCCAGTTGTGGGCCTGGTATCCATGTATTCATGAACACCTGTCTAAGACAAAAAGACACAGATTTCTGTTGTGTGGTTGTAAAATGTTCATCTCATCCCTCTCAGCCTCAGTTTCTCCTTGAGTGGACTGGAGCTCACCATATCCCTTTAAGGAGTCACTGCTGCAAGGTATTTGAAAGGAGGAAAAAAGTCAGATTTGCAATAATGGTTCTAAGAAAAACCTCAGGAGTAAATAGGCTTACAGATTAGCAGGATGGGGGAAAAGGTACCCACCTTTGTATCTGTTTTCAAACTCATTGCAACAAAACTGCAAGTCATTAGACATAAGCAATCTACAGCTTGATATGAATCACAGAACGGCCAAGGTTGGAAGGGACGTCTGGAGATCATCTAGTCCAACCCCCCTGCTCCAGCAGGGTCACCTACAGCACATTGCCCAGGATCGCGTCCAGGCGGGTTTTGAATATCTCCGGGGAAGGAGACTCCACTACCTCTCTGGGCAGCCTGTTCCCATGCTCCGTCACCCTCCTAGGAAAGAAGTTTTTCCTCCTGTTCTGATGGACCTTCCTGTGTCGCAGTTTGTGCCCGTTGCCTCTTGTCCTGTTGCTGGGCACCATGGAGAAGAGTCTGGCCCCATCCTCTGGACACCCCCCCTTCAGATACTTGTACACGTTGATCAGATCCCCCTCTCAGTCTTTTCTTCTCCAGGCTGAACAGGCCCAGCTCTCGCAGCCTTTCTTCATAGGTGAGATGCTGCAGTCCCCTCATCGTCTCTGTAGCCCTCCGCTGGACTCTCTCCAGTAGTGCCATGAAGTATTTAAAATTCCTGGATACGAGGCCTTGTTTAAGTAAGAGCAATTAATTATCAGTCATTAGGAGAGACAGTCACAGTGATACCTCTTGAGCACCATCTCTGCAAGAATCTTAAGTCAGCCGAAGCATTAAGCCTCACAGCCCCTCTGTGGAGGGAGGACTGTTAGTGCCACCAGATTGCAAAGGCAAAAATTGAGGTCCAACAAGGCCAGTTTGCTCGTGGTTTCGAACATGGCTTCTGCAGTTGTGTACCTCGGGTTTTAGTGTACAGGTTTTGGTAGAGTTTTGGAACATGAACTTGCATGTTTGAAACCCGAGGTTAGGAACTTGCCTGTGCTTGGAAGATGAAAGTAATTTACGCTGTGGTGGTTAGTATGTTTAGTAGGTATCACCCAGAATTACATCTGCTGGGTAGTCAAAACCACTGTCTTGTCTGTGCTTGCCCAGGGAAATCCTTGCTGGAGCTGGAATTCGGAACTGGATTCTGTGAGTGGTAAACCGCTGCCCTAAGCGTGAAGGACGATGCTCTTCCTGCTTGTGCTTTCCATGCTTGATTACAGTAAAGGAAAACCTGAGTGTAGCAGTTCTCTGCAGAGTTGATAGCTTCTTGTGTTAGCCAGAAGCACTGCTTAGAGTGAGCTGTGCTTGCTTGGACAGCTCTTCAGAAGTTTTAAGGAAGGGAAGTTGAGAATAAAGCACTTGAAGTCTTTGAGAGAAGGAGGGAAGAATTATCTGCTGGTTAAATGGTCTCTGGAGTCCAGCACTGGCAAGAAAACCTGTCCCTAACAGTTTGAAAAGCTGCATTGGTTTTTATGCTTACCTAATGGATGGAGAAGAGAAAGGAAATATATCTATGAAGATGTTGCTGATGAAAATGATTGTACTTGTATATAAAACATAAGACAGTCGAGCCAGCTCGTGATGAATATTCAGCTGGGGGGGATATGGTGCTACAGGGGTTGTATCCACCCCAGTATCTGCATTCCTCCGAGAGTCTTTGAGAATTTATTGCTCATTTTAATCACTGCTAGAGAATGAATTGGCAGAACTATTACTGGATGGGCACATCGCATAGATTTTATTTACATATCCTTGTGACAGAATAGCAAGGAGTTTTCATATGTATTTTTAATTTATTTTGATTTCATTTGTTCTTTAAAAAGAAGAAATCTGTGTGTGCTTTCCCTATGCTAGACAGCCCTTGCTTGCTGTTTAGGACTCTTGAGCTAGTTCGTGTTGCTAAACAATCTGGTGAAGTCTAAATAAGCTGTCGTGTGTATAGAGGTAAAAGGAAGGGAGTGGCCCTTGAGACTAGAGTCTCGAATGTGTAACTGCAATTAAAAGAGTCCCAGCACTGAGGCTTGAAGACTCATCTCAGCTCTAAGATTCTTTCTTTGCCTTTTCAATTCTTTTTCCTTCTGGTAAGCCTGCAAGAAGGTCAGTCAGGAGCTGAAATTTATTTTTGGTGAGTTTTCAAGCTTCCCTGCAAGCCTGCTTTCCCTTCAGTGTCATGATTGAGCCTCCGGAACCTGACAGTCGTCTTCAGCCACTAGCTCAGCACCATCATTCTAGCCTCTCCAACCGGGGCCTTCTGTTTTGAGTATTATAAACTGGTTGGATCGTAAGAACTGCTGTACCGGGCCCAGCAAGATCCATCTGCTGGCATCTCCTGTCTCTATTAGTTGCCGCTGAAGGATTTGTAAGGGAGATTGTAAGGACAGGACAAGTATGTGGTTGGTGTTTCCCTAGGCTCCGATCTCATCTTCTGACAAGCAGTGGTATGAGGACTTCCTGAACTGGAGCTTGCATCCACATCATCACGTTTAATAGCCTCTGAAGGACCTTTTAAAGAAAGCAAACATCTAGTTGTGATTCAAGTGTATTCTTTTTCCATCCAGAACATCCTCTGGTGGTTGGTACCGGTTTAAGCATGCATTATGTGAAAAATGTCTTTCGATTGTTTGAAAAGTGGTCTGTTCACTAAGCTGCACCCACAGCTCTATGTAAAGTAGAACCAGGGGTAGAATAGCCTTGCAGTGAAGGCTAATTTAATACTTTCTTTAAACCTACAAGAATTACCTCAAGACAGTGTTTACCCTTCCTGAGAAAGAAGCATTCCCGAAGGCCCCAAAGACTGTCATATTTTTATAGCTTGCTTTATGTCCCTGACATGTTTTGCAGCTGAGCATAATTTTATCATGCTGATTTCCTTTAATCTTTTAAAATTCTCTTCATATGATGTGAAAGATAGCGTCCTCCACATCTGTAGGTTTTCTGCACACATCTGGTTGTGCTAGTGCTGTGCTTTTGCACTTCTTCTCTCTGAATATTTTCCCGTAAATGTAATCATGCTTGGGAGGGGTGCCGTACTGGATGAAGAATAATCAAAGCCAGGGAACATGATTACCATGCCCATATTAGCGACAGGGAGCTAGCCCTTATTATCTCAAGGTGAGATCTGACACGCATTCGGCATCGCATCACAAGAACCTCTTCGCCCAGGGGAGCGCAGGAGTTCAGTTGCAGAATACCAGTCTTTGCATTTCTTTCAGCGCACATAGCACCAATGTAGTTCACTTAAATGCCAGTGATGTACCGTAAAAGTTTAATCAAAGGAACTGAGGATGAATTGTCTGAGAGTGAAAACACAGTCCCCACTGATATCATTTTACACTGCAGAACAGGAGGGGATGTTGCTTTCTCTGGCGGCTGATTTCCTTCCCAACAAATGCAAAGAAGGTCAGGCACTCGTTGTGGCCAAAAGAAGTTGTCTGGCAGGAGCGAGACCTGAGTCAGCTATACTGCTCCAGTTGCTGATCCTGGCAGAAGATAGTAGGAAAGAAATAGGAGAAGTTAGATCCATAGCAGTGCAGAAGGATGGAGGTGGGAATGGAAGGGAAAGCAAGGAAAGCTCACATCTCATTAATTAATGTTCAGTGAGATCCTCTGGCTAGCATGCTTCTGTGCGCAACAGGGCAGGAGTGGAGCAAAGGGTCTCTGGGAGCTCAAGTTCAAGTGAAAGAGGGTTTTCCTGGCCTAGGCACTGCCATGACAGCCATAACAGCTGCCCTGGCCTGCATGTGTGCACTGTCTTCATCCGTGGAGCGGAGATCCCTCAGGCAGCTGGGAGGTGAAGAGAGCCCCGAGTTGGATGCTGTGCTCTTGTCCAACTCAGGTGGGGTGTTTGAGAGCCACATCATCTCCACCCTCTCCTGAGACGTTGCCCCCGCTGCAGTGCAGGTGCTCTACACCACAAGACTGCTGCTGCTCTCGTTCATACTTGAAACTGCAATCTGCAGGGAAAAAAACCAGAAAAGCCTCCCTGTTTCAAACAGTCATTCTGAAAAGGAAGAGAGAAAAAAAGATTCTTACTTAGGAAAAGCAATAGTTTCTGGATGATTAGTACAGTTCAAAATCCAAGGTTATTGGTGGTTTTTTTGTTGCAGGTATCCCAGACTGATCTAAAATATATTTTTCTCAGCGGATTTTTCTCTTTCAGCGTGTCCTCTGTTGTCAGCGTGGGTTTTGGCAGCTGCACTTGGCCCAGGGTGCCGTGTTACATGAGCTGGCACTAAAGATGCCCCATGCCACTGCAGCTTCCAGAGAGCAGCTCCTAGGGGAGAGGCCATGTCATCACAGAAGAGATATCACATTTCAGTGGCAGGTTTCTCCGGAACGGGGCCCAAGCAGAAACAGTAGTGCAATGACTTGGAAAAAGCACTATAACTGGTGCAGTCCTTTGCACATGAAATGGACTTGCTTCCTACCCAGAGCCTTTTACTATGTTGGTCTTCCAAGGAAGAGAGAGAGAGAGAGCAGGGCCTTTCCCGAAGAGGAGCATCCCCTCCTGCTGTTTGTGCACAGCTTCCCATCTGTCCATAAACCCAACGCCATCATTCAGTATTCTGACAGCAAAGATTATATTCTCTGCACTTTACGAAAAAGAAAGACAGAAGAGGAGGGAGGAAGAAAAGATTTGTCAAGATATATAGAAAGACACAGATATATGGAAAGAGCAGTACTTTGAGCCTAGTGGTATATATGAAGCCTGGGGGAGATACGCTGTTGGCCTGCTGGATTCTGTCCTGCAAGTGGTGTTGCGCTGGGATCCGCAGAGAAATTATTACTCCATATGAGGCATCAGGACTGATGGCATCTCTCTGTTACGCACTCGACTGATAGCACCAGCCGAAATTGGATTGTTTGCTATTTATTTTTTTTTAACTTCTGTCAGAGTCACTACCAGCCCAGGAAACACTGGCGACCTGGCTGACAGGTTTTATCTGTTCTGGCTATGACAGCAGTGTCCTGCTGCAACTTTTGAAACTGGTTTCTAATTTTCTTAGAAATTTCTTTTTAATTCCCCTTCTGGGAGATGGTTTAAATGATTGGACCATTTATGTGCACAAGTTATTCACTCTACAAACCGTATGGTTCTTTTTCAGTGTTTTTTTCTTAGCTTTATGTGAAGGTTTGTTTTCAGAGCAGTTTTTCCACTGCTGCAATGCCGTTGAGCAGTGGCCAGCCTCTGGCTATGATGAGGAAAGATGCTCCCCAGAAAGTTTTGCAGTAATTGCAAAGGGTGAGAGAGACTAGGTTCATCCTCTTTCCTCCAGAAATTCATTGCACCGTAAGATCTTCCCCGTTCTGGGAGTCTGTGGTATATTTTGTCACTGAGAACTACCCTTTCTTGAGTATCGCAGAGATACACTTGTGTCAGGTGTCTCTGGAAACTGCTCTGTTGGTGGTTTGAACATTTGTACCAGAACTTTAAAGTGGCCAGGATCTGTGAGAAGGATTTCCAGCACTCATCATCTCAGCGTGGAGGAGTGCCTGATACACCAGATGGTTGTGTTGTCATTCAGAGGGACCTCAGAAGGCAAAAAGAAATGGGCAGAGAGGAACCTTAACAAAGGGTATTGCAGGGTCCTGCCCCTGGGGAGGAATAACCCCCTGCACCAGGACAGGCTGGGGGCTGACCGGTTGGAGAGCAGCCCTGCAGAGAAGGACCTGGGAGTGCTGGTGGACAAGAAGTTGAAAATGATCCAGCAATGCACTCTTGCAGCAAAGAAAGCCGAGGCATCCTGGGCTGCATTAGGCGGAGTGTTGCCAGCAGGTGGAGGGGGGTGATCCTGCCCCTCTCCTCAGCCCTGGGGAGGCCACAGCTGCAGTGCTGGGTCCAGTGCTGGGCTCCCCGGTACAGGAGAGACATGGAGCTCCTGGAGCGAGTCCAGCAAAGGGCTGTGAAGATGGTGAAGAGACTGGAGCATCTCTCATAGAAGGGGAGGCTGAGGGAGCTGGGCCTGTAGAGCCTGGAGAAGAGAAGGCTCAGGGGGACCTTATCATTGTGTTAAAATACCTGAAGGGAGGGTGGCAAGAGGACGAGGCCAGAGTCTTCTCCGTGATGCCCAGTGACAGGACGAGAAGCAACGGGCACAAACTGAAACACAGGAAACTGAAGAGTATATATAAAACACTTCTTTGCTGTGAGGGTGACTGAGCACTGGCACAGGTGGCCCAGAGAGGTTGTGGAGTCTGCATCCTTGAAGATAATGAAAACCTGACTGGACATGGTCCTAGGCACCCTGCTTGCGCTGACCTTGCTTTGAGCAGGGGGGTTGGACAAGATGATCTCCAGAGGTTGCTGCCAGCCCCAACTATTCTGTGATTCTGTATGTGGAGGAGATGCGAAGTTGCAGTGCATTGTACATTTTGCATTATTTCAGTCTTTAGTTCCAAATGCAGTAAACGAAGCTGGATGGAAAAAATGCATAAGTTCCCAACCCTAAAAAGGCCCTGCTTCCTTCTGACCTGGAGAAGAAAGAAAGTACACGTCCTAACTAAACAATTTTTTCCTGTTCTGTCCTGCATATTGTTGTGTGTTTTTCTGCAAAGCAATCGTGTCTGACTTTCCCAGCCTACAAACAGGACACATTAATACTCTCCCATCCCTTTCTGGAATGTTATGGAGTTTGATTCGCTGGTGCTTTTAAGGGAGTTGAAATCTTTGAGTAGAAGATGTTTGGAAGGTGAGGAAACAAATATAGGTGGAATAGTTAAGCTCTTACTTTTCGAAATAAGCAAGCTCATAATGAGTTAACATCTCATTAAGAAATGTGAGAAATATTATTGTTCTCACCCGTAAATGCTGTAGTCCTGACTTGCTCTATATAGCGCTCTTAGAGAAGCAGTGTGATGTCTTCCCAAATAACCTGTTTTTCACTTCCGATGCAAAACCCAGGTTTCTGACTGCTGCCCATGTAAGTGTGCTTGCTAGCCAAGCTCTCTCCATTCCTATGCACCTCAGCCTCCACTCGCTGACAGATTCAGAAATTTCCTCTTTCTTTAACTTACGCAGAATCCAGGCTGGTGCTGCAAGATTCCTACCAAGTTGCACCTCTCTGGCTCTGGCTGCTTTTCAGTGATAGGAAGCGGTGATCTGCGTGTCTAGGTGTCTCGTATATGCTCATAGAGGACTTTGCAGTCCTTTGTGGGAAAAACTGCATAGATACCGGTTGTTCCTGTTGTTGCTCTGAAAAACATTTTGGTCCTAAAATTTTCTTCCTTTCTGCAGTTCCAGGAGGAGCAGCGCAGGAGAGAGATAGAAGAACGCCGGAGGTTTCCCCTGGAGCAACGGCTAAAAGAGCACATCATCGGTCAAGAGAGTGCAATAGCAACAGTGGGAGCAGGTAGGATCCCTCACCCGCTTCATGATGTGCTCTTCCAGATCTTCTGCTCCACAGAGAAGATGCGCTATTTCCTAAGGTTGTGATCTGGGGCTGCCTTCAAGCAGATCACAGCAGTTAATTGAGGTGGATGAGTGACTCACAGTGAGGTCCAGCAGATATTTCATGGCTGTGAGAGAGAGAGAGAGCACTTGTTCTTTGTCGCAGGAGGGGCTCTTTAATGTGCAGTGGAGAAGAGGGTAACGGACTGAATGTAGATGACTGACGTGCTTTTTTGTCAGTTAGAGGCTTACCAGCCCTTCCATTTGGAATGATTTCTCTTTAGACTAAACGTTGTTTAGTCTCTTTAGACTAAACGTAGAGACTTGAAGGATTTCTCTTTAGACTAAACGTTGTTTAGACTAAACGTAGAGACTTGAAGTTTGAAGTTATTCACTGAGATTTGCAGTGCATACCTTTGAGCGTGAAAGCAGTTCTCGGCTGAAGGACTGCAGGACAGAGGCTGAACTTGGTGACGCCTGAGCCTAGGATAGAACCATCTTTTTCACAAGACCATTGGTCTCAAGAATATTATTCATTAATAACTCACTAGCAGTTTTGCAGGGCATGTAGATAAACCCCTCTGACACAGACTGCTTTGGGGAATTTGTCTGTGTTCCTTACGGGTTTGGGGCTCTGTTCTGATCAGAATACTAGTACATACTTTGGCCATACTTTTCTGGCCATGTGTGTTATGACAGAGCAAAGGGCAGTTTAGCCCAGTGTCCTGTCACTGCTAATGCAGCATAGGGAGGAGCGTATTAGCAAGACAAATACAGAGGGATATTTCCCCACTTTACTCTCCCAGGTTCCAGCAGTTTGCAACCCAGGAACACAGTGAGCCAAAAGTTATATCTTTGTGTATAGCAGCCCACAAGGGATTTTTCTTCCATGAATCTGTCTGTTTCCTTTGGAGCTCCCGTAAACTTTTGGCCTCTGCAGCATCCTTTGGCAGGGAGTTGCATAGCTAGTGAGGAAATATATCCTTTTATTTGTTTTAAATCTGCCTCCTGCTAATTTCACCTAGTGCCCTCTGGTTCTTGTATCAAGAGAAGCAATTGTTGCTGAAGAAACAGTTGCTCGGCTGAAGCTGCTGCTGTTCACGACACAAAGCTCTTCTTTGCCTCAGGGCCCACTGGTTCCAATGGGAGTTCAGAATCTGGTCCCGCTTTGCCCAGCAGGAGTTAAGATCTCGAGTTCTCCGAGTGCATCCAGCGTTAGTCTCAAGGTATCCAGGCTTGTGGGAGGGCAGAATGGGTAACAGCTAGCAGAAGGGTTATCTGTCTCCTGAGCTCTTCCCGTCTTCATCTTTCTGGAAGCGTTTTTCAGTAAATACTGAAGACAATATTAAAGCAAAATCCTTTGTCGGTAGCATGTTGCTGTAACTTTCCCCTGCTGTATTTGTGAGCCCCTTACAGACGTACACAAGTGGCCGTGATCTTCTCTCGCTGTGGCCGCTGCCAAGAGAGAGGACTGCGGCGTGACGCGTTTCCTTTAGAGACTGTATTTTAAAGCACTTTGCCTTTGCTGGTCTGCTTCTGTTGGTTTCTAGCTGGAAAGCGGCATTAGTTGCCTGTGCTGCAGATTCAGCAAAACGCTTTGCGGTTTGTGTCTGTGAGCGTGCTGCAAACAGCGCAGGCCTGGTGCAAACTTAGTTAGCTAGTGTTTCTTTTTTTGAATCTGCTAGAAAACCTCGGGCCCACGTTCCCCGGGTAGGGTGCCTGGTGCCTTTTCCTGAGGCGTTTCTCCTGCACTTCAGCTTCTCAGTTTCACTATTAAAAAAAATAAATAAATAAACGCAGCGAATAAATGAGGAGTCTGGCCTCTTGTGGCTGGGAAGGAACCATACAAGTGTGCAGCAAGGTTTGCAGGGAAAGGTGATGCCTTGCGTTAGACCCTCTGACGGGGCTGGGGGAAAACCAGGCCAGCTTTTAGGCACGCAGGCCTGAACAGAAACCGCAAATTTCAGATGAGGACAGACAGTTGCTCTGAGCTGCACTTCGTTATGTTAATCAGTTAGGCAGTTTGAGAGGAAAGGGTGTTGGGCATCTGTGGAGCAGAGGGCGATGTTTTCCGACCATATCAGTTAGCCGGACAAGCGCTGGCACCTCTCTCTACAAGCCTTGCTTTCCTTATACCGCCACGGCTCCAGCAGCGTTACCACTGCGAAACGTGAGCCTGTGGCATCAGTCTGACCCCGGAGACAGCCTGAAACTACAGCCCCATGCGGCCCGAGGCCCCCACGGCCTCCTGAGCAGCGCCTCGCGGCCGGTCGGGGCGCCCGAAGGACAGTGAAGGTTTCCACTTCCGCGGCAAGGTGCCTTTTCCTTGGCGCGACACGCGTGCGAAGCTCGATGTAGCCTCTCCAGATGTACTTGGGCTGTTCAAAACTCAGGAGTCGTTTGTTTCGTGCTGGACATTAAAACACCGTAAGGAAATCAAGACTCCATTACCAGCAAGCTGGGCTGGGTCCAATTTGTCAATCCAAGGCCTGAAAGCCCTTCTGTCCTGTTCATAATTCCTCGAACCATCCGTGCATCCTAATATAGTGCCTGAAAAATGGACAGTTAGGAAAGACCGGGCTGAGGTCAGGACAGAACTGTGAGCAGCGTGCTGTCATAAATACAAAAAACATGCCAGGATAGTTAACAAAGCTGAGTCCTGTGTGATGTGGAAGCTCTCGCCCTGCAAGCACAACAGACACCCTCTGTGTTTTGAGAGTGGCTGTGCCTGGGGGCAGCAGTATGGGCTAATTGGGAAGCTTTGATTAATGGGTAGTGCCTGTTTCTGACACAGGTGGTGTTTGTGCACATTAAAGTGGCTGCCTTTATGGAGGTTTCTCTTATTGAATTATAGGGAATGTGCTTGATACCCCCGCAGCCTCAGGATATCAGACCGAAAGGTAGCAAGAGAGTCTCTGTCCCCTCCTCCCCCCTTCCCTCCTGCCCCATTTTCGTTGTTTTCTTTCAGGAAGGATGAATTTAGAGACATGACTTTTTCTTTCCAAGCACTTGCTATCTATTTTTATTATTTTTTATTCCCAGCTGTTTTTGCTGCCACTTTGTGGACTCCACGTGCCTCTTGTTTTGCGCTTGCTGATACAGTTTGTTGGCTAGGAGACTGGCTGCACACCATGCCTCGAGATTTACCAAGCCTAGCTGATATGTTTAATTTATAACTGCTGCCTTAATTGAATAATCCGATTTAATCTGTCACCTGGTACGTGATCCAAACAGTCCCCAGAGAGGCTCAGCCAAGGATACAAAGGGAATGGGAGCCCTGGGGTTTACTGCACGGGTCCTGGCTGGGGGGATGCACGGAGAGGGCGACTGTCAGGGTTTTGCACCACGGGCATGTTCGCCTGCCCTCATCACACCAGCGATAACTCGGCGCTGCTGCCACCGAGGGAAGAAGCCCTTCTCTGTCATTTCCACAAAATATATCAGAGCCCTACTGCTCTCTCTTCTGTTGCACAAAATAGGACAGATGATGGCAGGACTGTGATATGCTGGATAATGATTACCCGATGATAACCGGCCACCTCCGAGGGTTCGATATTCCTCCTTGTGCTCCGAATGGGGAAGGCTGCTGCCTAACGGGAGGCAGTTTGGCTGCGGGTGGATGATGCTGTGCCCTGTGCAGGCAAAGATGTTTGTTTCGTTTTAACAAAATCCAGATGAGATATTCCGTCTTGTAACACGTTAGAAAAAAAACAGGCAGGTCATTCCTGTGATCCCAGCGACTAATGGAACCAGTTCATGCAAACGAACAGCTAAAAGGCTTATGATTGTGTTTCCAGGGCACTTCCATACATTATTATACCCTGAATCTGGTTTGCTCTCGTTTGCCTTTTTCACGTGAATATGCAGAGACACCAGGGCGAAACGAGGCGTACTTCGTAGCGATCCAACAGAAAGCGTCTCCTGTCTAAGATTATAAACCGAAGGAGAGCATGTTTCTAAAAGTACGTATCTTTTTTGTTCTGTGATCTCATATCCTAACTATGCTGCCAGAGAAAGAATACCTCCTTTTACACGTATATTACATTTGCCAGGCAGTGATCACTTAGAGGTGGGGTTTCAAAGCCACCATTTTCCAGGGTTGTTTTTCTAAAGCCTTTTGGATTGAAGTAATCTGTGTTAAGACTCTTCCTACAGTTGAATAAGGAGGGAGGGAGAAAAAATGTTGTTTATTTTTTCATGTAGAGACTTTGAATAAAGGTGAGTGCGGAAAGTCCACTTTTAATTGTAGAATTACAAATTTTGAACGTGCTGAGTGGTCATAATGTTGAAAATAGTTGGAGTTTCAGAGCTGAAGGTAAATGGATGAGCAGGGATATCATCTTGCTTTGAGCCCAAGGAAACTGTTTTCTATGTGGACGAGAAAGATAGGTTTCTTAACAAGTCCCGTATTTTTGTGTGCATAGGCGCTTGCTTTACTGAGGTAGGTTGCCTACAAGTCTAAACTAAAAGTAGAACGAGCGCTTGGAACAAATCCTAACCCAGGCAGGTCAGACTTTCCAAGGAAGCATCTTTGATCCAGTTTGGGGTTCTTCTTCTTCTGCATCTTAGAAGAATCTTGCGGAAGAATCATCTTCTGCAAGTGGGGCCCGGCCAGCGTTGTTGTGCCTGCCAGCAGGTTCTTTGGGATTGTGGTAGATCTCATAAGAGACTCCACAGCTGGTAAAATCCAAGCTGGGAAGCCAGCTCTTGGTGTGCTCCATTGGTTCAGAGCCTTGACAGAGGAGAGCGATCCCACAGTGGGTATGGTCCTGGAGACACTCACCCCGGTGGTACCCTGCGCCTGGGCGGCCTAAGAAGCACCACCGAATGAATTGATTTGATAAATGGACATTTATTACACTCACAAATTGGCTGAAACCAATTTTGGTCACATCAACCCCTGATAACTGCTAGAGTATTGATTTGTGTAAAGTAATACAGTGAATTTATCAGTTCAATAGC